GATCCATATTTTTGTTTATCTGACTTTATCGCCCCCAAGTCGACCGGAATATCAGATTATCTCAGTCTCATGACAGCTTCAATCTTTGGTGCTGAAGAATTAGTACAGAAATACACGGCCGATCATGATGATTATATGGTTATTATGACTAAAGCGATTGCCGATAGATTTGCAGAAGCGTTTGCAGAGTGTCTGCACGAAGATATTCGACGAGAATTGTGGGGATACGCAAAGGATGAGAAGTTATCTGTTGAAGAAATATTAGCGGTAAAATATCAAGGTATTAGACCAGCACCAGCATATCCTTCGCAGCCTGATCATCGAGAGAAGACGACTATGTGGGAACTGATGGATATTAAACAAGAAATCGGTGTCGAGCTGACCGAGAATTTGGCAATGTGGCCAGCTGCTAGCGTGTCTGGTGTGTCATTCGAACTCGTACCTTACACAATTGATGTATATAATTTTGTATAGTTGTTTAACTGTGCCAATTCTTTCTAGCGTTGGTATTTGCGCATCCACAATCCCAATACTTTGCGGTTGGCAAAATTGGGAAGGATCAGGTACATATAGTTCGTTCTATTTGTGGCCGATCTCGCTTCACGCAATATATTTCGTATTCTGACTTTTTGCCTTGTTTTATCAGATTATAAGTTACACAGAGCGTACTGGGAGAGACATGGATGAAACAGAAAAATGGCTTCGACCAATACTAAACTATGGTAAGAAACTCTTGGTTTATGCTTATTAGTAAGACATACATATATATATTTTGTTCCTGACAATTGTGAATAATCTTTTGATTATTAGAATAATCTTTGAACACTTCATGGGAAGCGTCTGCATACCCCTTGCATTTCATGTATTTTTTCATTTTTCACCTGCGACACGTCTTTTTTCTGTCTTTGCCTTTTCCCTTTTATACCGCTATGTAGAAATAAAGTTCCACTGTATTCGCGTCAACGCTAAACTCATTTGTAATCTTCATTGCACTTTGTTTTACATTCGTTTAGAACGAGAAATCCGTTTAGCATTAGATCATAATCATAGCTTCAAAATGCAACGCAATAAAATAATTTATAATTCATTCTAGTCGAGTTTTGGAAAGGTGAAATGGTAAAACACCAATATTAAATATTAATATGAATATGGAAATTTAGTCCATTTTTGATTGATTAATGCTTGAAGTATTTTTTGTCATATACAAGGTCAGCCCAAATTTTACGAATACTGCCACGAAGCTAATTAACTATAGAATAACGTATGACACATATTTACAATACATATTTTCGTAACTAGTTTAGTAGTAGACGCAACTGGCTTCGCTTCTTAAATTCCAGGAGCAAAAAAGAACATATTAGCAGATGGAGGAAAATAGGCCATTAAACAAAAAGAATCCAACCTCACCCGCAAACATCATCTTTCAAAGAAAAAACTTCCTTCTATTAAAGTCCGCGTTGATTTCTTTTTAGAATTTAGACGATACGTTTCTTCTGATACATCTTCAGCGTCCTTTGATGGTGTGTTTGTAAAACATATGAAATTTTATTTTTTCAATGAGCCTATTGTACGTATCTACTATGTAAGTCACAAAGATTTTTTTACTGATTTTGAAGATAATTGGTTGTACTTTTCGAGAGAAATTGTGATATATTTAGGTCCGTTATCATTCCGAAGCTGCAGTTCGATAAATGATACTGTTTACATTACTATTACACATATGTTTTTCATAGATTTTCATATTGTAACATAGATACTGTCACTTTGTTGAACTGCAAGTTTCGGAATAATAACGGGTCTAAATATACCACCATTTCTCTCGAAAAGTACAGTCAATTATCTTTAAATCGGTACAAAAATCGTCGTGACTTACATAGTAGACACGTTCAATAGAGCTCTTTAAAAAAAATGAAAATTCCATGTTTTACTATGTGCTTGACAAGAAATCCGATAATTTATGGTAGGGGAGTGTAGATACTGTCACCTTATTAAACTGCAGCTTCGGAATGATAATGGGACTTAATATGTTACCATTTCTTTCAAAAAGTGCAACCAATTAAGAAAACGCGGGTATATAAAAAAAAGTATATAATATACAAAAAATAAAAAAAATTTTTTCATATAAAAAAAAAACATGCAAAAAACGCTAAGGCGTAACTGTGTCTGGTGGCGGTTGCTGTGTGGCGTGGCCGTAACTCCACTTTGGAGTGGAATGGCTACGCCACCGCCACACGCCACCGGGACACAGCAAAAACGACCGACCGACGAGCTTTTAACTGCCAAGTGATAGTTGTTAGATACATTGTTTTTAAA